CCATACTTTGGATTTCTGTGGGTGGTGCTTGCACACTGTTCTCATTTTCTTCCACTGACTAGCCTTTCAGGGCTTGAAAGATTCTCACTTGCTGTTGTCACTTAAAGAATACAATATATTTGTTTTATAGCAAAATATATAACAATAAATATAGAATTGTGTGTGTGTGTATTATAATATCTTGTGATTTTATATCTACTATCACCAGATGGAATCAATGTAAAAAGCTTGGTTGGGGTAATTTAGCCTAAACATTGTTGCTTTACCAGAGGGGGGCATCATATCAATTTTCCCTCAGGCAAATTAGTTTTTAGGGTTGAGATGTCTGTCTAGCATGGCAATGTCTATTTTCCTCTCAAAAAAATCACTTCCTTATCCTTCGTCATTTAGATCCAGAGAAATAACACCCATAATGTCAGGGAAAAGGGGTTAATATCACCACCCCAGCTTCCTGTTCCAGGTCCACAGGCCCAGTAATGGCACCCAGCCAGCAACTTGTCTGACGCTTCCCACAGACCCATGGCTGTCTGTGTCTCAGCTGTCTGTGCAGGGCGCCATCTGTGGTTGCTGGCCCCATGGCAGTGCCATGCCTCTGGGATGGGTAGACACCAGAGGCTTCCAAACTTCCAGCCCTTCTGCCTGAGATGGTCTTCCAGCTCCTAACAAGTCTTCCACTAATGCCTCAATTTTGTAGTATCTGTGGACCCAAAATGGACAGGGGTGCACTGTTGCCTGCACTGGTATGCGTATAGGCTTTCAGGTTCATGGAGGAAGCTGGGTGGTTTTGAAGCTCACTTTCTTTAGCTTCTGACTAGCTTGATGTGTGGGAATTATCAGGGATTTTCCAAGCAGTAGCATGAATTTACAAAAATAGAACTCATAGGTAAAATAATTTTGCCAGACTCTCATCTATGATACTGGGGCTTTGTTTTATTTTAAATTCCTTTACCTATGAGTATTAGTGGCATGGAATTGCAGTATCCCACATGGTCTCACTCTGCATTAGGGATATGGTAGACTTCTGCCAACCAGCACTTGCAGAAGTTGAATTCTTACCTAGTGCTGTTTGCATGGAGTCTTGTAGCCAAAGCCTTTTAAATCAAAGGAAATCAGGGAGAACAAAAGGTAATCTTCTGCCTTTAAGAGACAGGCCCTTATATTGTTCCATTAACTGTGTTTGCCTTAAATATCTGAATGGTTTAAGTAACTAGAGTGCATTTGTCTCCCTGACTCTGTGCGCATTAGGCAGGATGAGCATTAAACACACACGTGTGTGCATACATGCACATGTGTACACACATAAACCCTGTGGTCAGATTCTTATGAGGGTACAGTCCATGTCACTATTTATTACTCATCAAAATATATGAGATCTCTGTTACGAAATGTTCTGTCTCCAAAAACATATTTCTTCTCTTTTAGAAAAATATCTTTGGCTGGATCCCTGGTACTTTAATTAAAATCCTGGTTGCTCTTTAAAAAAATGTTATTGCATTTCAGACAGCTTGGATATAAAACAGTAAGTCCAAGAACCAGAACTTTTTTTTAAATTATGTTATGTTAATCACCATACATTACATCATTAGCTTTTGATGTAGAGTTCCCTATCAAAATAACATCAACTTTTTTCAAAGAAATGGAACAAATAATCCTAAAATTTGTATGGAACCAGAAAAGACCCTGAATAGCCAGAGGAATGTTGAAAAAGAAAAGCAAAGCTGGTGGCATCACAATTCTGGACTTCAAGCTCTATTACAAAGCTGTAATCATCAAGACAGTATGGTATTGGCACAAAATACATGAAAGGAACAGAATAGAGCCCAGAAACGGACCCTCAAATCTATGGTCAACTAATCTTCGACAATGCTCAAAAAAACTTATGGAATGGGTATGGAGGCACATGGCATACTAGGTAGGAGGAATATGAAAATGACTAAAACATAGTCCCTGTCTTTACAGGGCAATGGTGTATTGAAGACAATTGGATACTTTTGATTATTAAAACATGAGTTACTATCTCTTAGGTAACTTATGATGCCTCAGGAACTTTTCGTATTTTAACTTTCAGAATAACTTAATAAGGAGGGTATTTTTTCTTTTACAGAGGAGGAAGCAGGTTGAGGGAATTTAAATGGCTTACTCAAAGACACAGAGCCCCTAGGTAGAGAATCCTGTCTTCAAATTCAGGTCTGTGTGTCTTTAATATCTCTGCAATGCTACCATCTTTGGAAATTTGTGCTTTTCCTTCTCTTAGTGCTTCAAGGTCAGGCTTTTCTGATTTTCTTAACTGAGAACTAGAGGAGATAGAAAACATTTATTTTTTTAATAGAATTGCTGCATGAAGAGGTTTATATTTTAGTTGGTCACATGAGTTTTGTCTTAAAAATATCTGCTAAGGTTGGTTTCTTTTTGAGTGAATGAAGGTGGTGCTGAACACAGGACAGAGCACAGAGGGAAGGAGGCTGAATGAGTCCTCTCTGAGCTATTTTTATTGTCACGTTGGGTGGGCTTGTGGGACATAGAGTGAGCTGTGATGAAAGTCAAAGGGGGCAGGCAGACTGGCCTCTGAGGATGTCATGGCTGTGTTCTCCTTATACCTCTGAGGAGTAGCATGGGATACTCCTCCACCGCCACAGATTAGAAGTAGAGCCTGGAGGAGCTGTTCTCATAAGCCCCCAAACCCACCTTCTTAGGCCCTCACACTTAGTTGAATGGGATTGGCCATATGGGAAGGGGGTCAGGTGGTAGCCTGGTTTCTGGCTCTGTGACCATTCTGCTTGAAGGTTCCAGAATCTGTCATTCACCAGGGGGTCCTCCAGGCTGGAGCTGAGGCAGTTGCTGAAGCAAAGGGTGAAGTTGGCAGATAATAGCTTGTTTTCACGCTCTGAATTCCTCTGTCGTCCCCCTCCAATGGGAAAATGGAGAAGGAGAAGCCTATGGTGCTGGGGCCCTAGATCCTCAGGCTGAAGGTTCACCCTCATGAGATTTGATTTGCTGACTAGGTACATTAAGCAGTAAGATAGCAGAAGTCGGGAATTCTAAGTTTTAACCTCAGGTGTGCTCTTGTGTAAGTGTCAACGTGGCATAGAACTGTCTTTCTCAAAGAAGGTGCTCATACATTTTGGCAAAGAAATTATAGACTCAAAGCCAGTCCTAACCTCTCATTTTATAGATAAGGAAACAGGCCCAGAAAAGTTATATGAATGAACCAAAAGATTTGGACTCCCCCCCCGCCCCTGCCCGCCCCCATCAGCTTTGGCTTCCAAATCCATTTAGAACCTTGCAGACTCAGGCTCTGGGTCACATTAATTAAATATGGGCCTTCCCCATGGTAGAGAGATGAGCAAAGACACAGAAGTACAGGTCAGCTTGAGTAGTTGTGTAGTTTGAGTCTATATGCAGCAGTGGATGGGATACCCTTCCTCTCAGTTACTGGAGGGCTGATAACAATCATCTTAAATTGCTGTTAGTACTATAGAGTAGAGGAGGGGATTTAAATCAGAATCATCTGGGGAGATTTTCAGGACATGTGTACAAACTCTGCTTGCCTCATCCCACCAAAAATGAATCCAAAATAGAGGAGACAGAAGTGAGTATGGGTATTTGTAAGTAATTCCGATTTGCCTATCCCTTACTGGGACCTATTGTGGTACCATCTGACAATGGTAAGCTCCTTGAGGGATGATCTTGTCTTAAGTGTCCCTGTGTTCTCCACCAAGTGGAGTGTCTAATTCACTAGATATTTGCTGAGTAAATGGATGAAGCAGATGGCAGTGGAGAGATAAGAAAAAATATCCTAGACAAAAAAGACTGGGCATTGGAATGTGAGGAAGCCCAGAGGCTGCTCAGTCAATACATGTTTATTGAGCGTGATTAAAGGTGAGCCCAGCCATCTTCAGCTGTCTTGCCATCGACCTTCTATCAATAAACATAAACACTGTTTTGCCCTTGACCTCAACAGCTAAAATAATAAATACCTTAATTGGTCATTATTAATTCCACTTTGAATTTATTATAGATAAATGTGGCCTTGAAAAGAGAATCACTCCTACATTCAGCCCATGCGTTTTATCCTTGAGTCTCCCAAAGGTGCATGTGTAGTAAAACAAATAAAATTGGCCTCCCACCTCCGCCCTCCCATCAATAGATAGCACATTTGCTATTGAGTCCAGGCAAATAGCCATTTGCAAGGTTGGATGAGTAGTTAAGCCACACAGGCACAATGTAATATGACAACATTCTTCATGGTAATATTGTCCTTCTCCTCATTACATTTGAATATAGATTGCTAGTGTGTGATATTTCCAACCTCACTCTCTATTCGTGAGCTGTGGAATTTTTCAGACAAGGTGAAGTCCACATGTGCTCCCCAGACATTATTGACTTATTTGTAAGCCTAAACAAAATCACAGCTATTGTCTCTAAGAAGTTAATTTGCCAAAGCTCTTTTCTTCCTACCCTTAATTATGTATATATTTATAGACTTGAGCCACCTGCCTGCTCAATGCTCGTGTATAACCGTATCTCTTATGTACCACTTAATGGTTCAGGGCTCTTCCTTTATACCCTCTTTGCTTCAAACTCAACATTTAAATATCTGTACTCACCTTACCTTCTCAGTATTAAAACATTTTTTTCTTTACTTCCTTGAAAAGCTGCAAACAAGCCTTTTAACATTTTATCTGGACCAAACAGTAGTGGTTTTACACAAGAAACAAGAACTCTGTAAGTAAATCTGTGTATTTATATGACTAAAGTGCATTATAAAAAGCAGTAAATCCAGTTTTCTACATAAAAGGAATTAGATTTTCCAGTTTACCTTTGCACTGGGATTAATAAAATGTGCAACAAATAGCTGATGGAATGATCCATTTGAAGTTTGTAAAGGCATCTTGGGAAGCTGGTTGGAGTAGCCTTTTTATTTTTTCAAAAAAGGATGCCTGCTAATTTTTTGATTCAGTCTTGTTCTTGAATGACTGTTTTAAAATGAGCCGAGAGACTGTTACCTGCCCATTTCTGCATGGCTGAGCAAATTCACCCGTAAATCCAACTTTCTCTTCATTTCCATCACTATACGTCTCCAAATTACAGAGCATTCGTTCCTGAGCTGGAGAGGTGCCAGAAGTTTCTCATCTAGCTGTCTGTGGGCTGCCTTTTTCTTTCCCCTCTTTGAGGCTTTCTGATGCTTAGAGTGAGCTCAACTCAAAGGTTTCCAGCCTCACACTCGCCTTACATTCCCCCACAGTCACACCAAGCTCTGTGATTCTGAGGAAAACCGTGTACCAGCATCCGATTCACAGTCTCCTTTTACCTGCAGGTGTTCCAGAAACTTCAAAATGCGTCTGGTAATGTATTTGCTTCTCTAAACATGCCACTTTGGCATGCATTATATGCAGCTGCTTATTATTTTTTTTTAAAAATCTGTCTTTTGAATAACATGCATGCTAAGAAATGTCAAAGGGGGCTTGTAGAACTGTGTAAGCTTAATTAGTGGTCTAGGTGTTCATGTGTGTGTCCTTGTTAATGTAGGCATGTTTGCATAAATATGTATGATTTATGTACACATATGTCTGCACAGGCAGATTTCACTAAAGGAATCTTAATGGAAGCACTACTTTTTATGTACATGCAGGTTTTCTAATCAGATCTGTAAACATCTTACACAGCAGCAAGTAGAGGAAAAATACATTTTTCATCCCCTTGCAAATGGCATGTTTTTGGTACCTATTTGAAAAACCCTCCTTTCTTTCTTAAAAAAAAAAGGGGGGGTGATTGTGTGTGTATTTTGGGTGTGGGGGTGTTGGTTTTTGAGAATTTGGAGAGAAGAGTTATCTTCTTGCTGCATGAGAATGTCTACCTCATGTTATCTGCCTTCTTAAAACTCACTAATCACTGAGGAGAAGAGATGTGGTTCCGCTTAGAAGTAACCCCAGGGGACATTGAGCCGCAGTGTTCAGCAGGCATTTTAGGTATTCTAAATACTACTGCTTGAATAATAAGTAGATGGGGTAGATTTGCTATCGCCGAGTCCTGCTATATTTCCTGGCTTGTAGAAATCACAATCACATGTACATTTAGGGTGTGCATGTGTTTATTGAACTCTAGTAAAGCAGCATGAGAGTCTGGGCTCATATATCACATTATTTATTTGCCAGTGTTGGGTGGTAGATTCTAAAATTAAGAAATTACTTAGCAATTAATAATACATTCAGCATCCCTTACCTCATTGGGTGAGATTTACATCCTTGGGACTTGCTCTTCTAGTTATAGAGACGAATGATTTAAGGTTCAGACTTAATTGCTATTTCAAATCTTTAAGCTAGAAAGGTGCTTGGAATACTTTATTTAAAAATCTTATTTTGAAAAATGTGTATGTATATTTCTAACTGTGGTGGTGAGCCAGTTATGACTATAATGTGCTATATGTTTAAGAAATACAACTTGATTATTATTCACTAGAATAATAGACATTTTCTTTCTTGTCTTCATATTATAATAATTCTTTCACTTTATATGATGTTCTTGCTTTTGAGAGATCAATAATTATTGTTGTAAAGATGAGACTAATGCAGCAACTCAGAATTCAAAGAAAAGTAGGTTGAAATAGCAGTTTTCTGAGAAATTAAATAATAATAGATTTTCCCAAGTAGGTTTTCTAAATGTACAGTGGGTTTGATATTTGAAAATGGAAACATCTTAAATGTAAACTTGTTAAGTGGAACAGACTGGGATAATATTAATGCCTTCTTGTTACTGTTCCTCACTACATTTAAAATGAGGTAGTACATTGGCTATTAATTGCCTTTGCTTCATGATATTGATTATAAAACCAATGATTGTTTTTTTATTGGCTTTGAATTGGATCACTGTAAACTTTGGTAAAATAGTTTACTGAATTGTAACAATAAAAACTCATGGTCTTAAAAATCAGTGTGAAAACTACTTTTTTTAGCATTCAAGATCTAATATTTTATCACTTATAGAGCTGTGTACTTATAGAAGATTGTGTATATTTCAAGAAAATTACCTAACTTTTAATGCTGATTTTGTCAACCATGTCTAATTCACAATTACTCAAACTAACACAGTAAAAATGCATTTCAATATGTATCAATGGTTCCTTGAAAGGGCATATTATATTAGGAGCCATTAAAAACCCATGTAAGCTATTAATGTTATACTCATGTATTGCTCTGTGTGTAAAGGATTTTTATTTTAGGTACCATTCATTTCCAGTATTTAAATACACCTAAGATTGTGACCTATTTGATATAGGAACCTTGTCTTGATGAGGGTTTCAAATTGAATGTATAGGATGGTTGGAGATTTAGTAGCACTTTTTAAATATGTATTGCAATATGCGTTAATGCATACATACAAATATTGGGCTATGTAAAAACATTCCTAGCTTTCAGCCAACCTTTGAAGTTGGTTATTTTGTTTGAAATCAGTTTCATAGGCATAAAAAGAGGTTTTATTTTTCTGAACCTGTATGGCACTGTGTAGTAGTAGGAAAACATCCAGTGCCATTTTGTAGGGAATATCGCAGGAACTATTTAGTGAGAGGAAAAATGCCTTGTTTCTGTTTCTAATTATGATTTCCTACTGCCTTTTAGATGTATGGTAGACCAGGTCTTTATTGTATAAAAGCACATTTGTATTATCTACAATACCTGAAATGATTGTAAAACACTTCCTTCATACTTTAGTTTTCCTGTTATATGACTGAGATTGCTTTATGAAACATTTCATTTTTTAAGGCTGACATATAGAAAGAGGATATAGAAATATAATTTGTAGACTGACCAATCACCAACAACTGAAAACATCCTTAAAGTAAGCATTTATTGAGCATAGCTTTGCCAAGCCATCTTCTATCCTTGGGCAAAAGAGTGGGTGGAGGAGGAGGGTTCTTATCTAAAGAGACAGGAGATGCTTTTCCTGCTATTTCATCATTAACAATTATTTATGGAGGCACACACACCTTCAACATAGCCTGAGAATTTTATATATATATATATTTGTGTGGTGTGTTTGTGTGTATATATAGTTTGTTCTTAGTTTCAAAATGATACCATTCTAAGGTTTGCCCATAGAGAGGAATGATCACAGTTGTGGTAGGTAGAGCAGGCAGGCTGGTGAAGGAAACTTTGGGGAAGGTGAGTTCTCAACCAAGTTTTGGAGGAGATTATTAGCAGGAACTGATGGAAAGGGCAGGAATAGGCATTTGGGTGAATGGGAAAGAAAGATGTTAACAGGAGACAACAAGGTAATAACATTGCATGGAGAAGAGGCACCATATTGGCAGTGATAGGAAGTGAAATTGAAAAAAAATCACAGGGTTGAGTTTGAAATATTTGAAGATAGAATAATTTGAAGATTAATCTTCATTAGCTCTATCATATCCTGTGGAAAATTTTGTGAAAGTAAACATTTCTTCTATTTTATCATAATCGATAACCTCTGTAAACAGCATTTCAAAGTCTATTCAGTAACATAACTTAACATTTCATGAGCATTTACTATGGGCCAGGCACGGTGCTAAATACTTTCAATGCATTATCTTGTATAGTCCTCACTTACTATTAAAATCCTTATACTACAAATGAAGAAACTGAGGTACTGAAAAGTCCTATAACTTGTCTAAGGTTGTATAAAGTCAGAAGTGGCTGAGCTGGGATTTGAACCCAGATTCTGGAGCCCAGACTTTGAACCTTTCTGATTCCCATATACCAGCCTCCTGTCACCCAATTCAAACTTTTAAGTCCCCTCTGAGTACCCTCTTCCTCATCCCCCTTCCTTTAATCAGTCCTGAAATCCTATTCACACATCATATTTTCTTATATCTTTTTCTTTCTTTACACACCTGGCTCAAGATCTCATTTCCTCTTACCTGTAACAGCAAAACAGCCTTCCAGCTGATCTCCCTGACTCCTGACTGCTCTCCATTCGGTGCAGCCTCTACATCGTGACCATATTCACCTTCACACAAGACCATTTTGATTATGTCACTCCTCTGCTCCAAAACCTTCAGATGAAAACTTACACAGTCCACAGCTACATTCCTTTGATCAGTTCTCATTTACTTTTCCAGGCATATTTCTATTAACCTCCTATATATTTTCCAAATTCCATACAAACTGCCCATTCCCTCTAATCTCTCCCAAATTACTTCATTCTGCTTCCTTCACGTGGAATACCTTCTTCTCAACTCTACAAATTCCTGCCTATCCTTCAACTCCAAAATTAAATATAACTTATGCTACATATAAAAATAAGCACTTAGCTGTAGAATTAAAATTCCTCCACCCCTGGGTCCAGATTTTCATACCATCAGATCATGCAGGGTCTTTCTATGCCCATAGAAAGAAGCTTGGTATTTATTCTCTAGGATATAGGGAAAACAATGAAGAGTATTAAGCATTGAAATTATAAATCAGAGTTGCTTTTAACTCAGATGACGCTGTAGCAGTGGAGACTGAATTAGATAGGAGCAAGATCCATTGGAAAGACCCATTAAGCAACTATTGCATCTGCCTGAGGGAAGACTGAAAGGGCTGTGTTAGGGGGAGGAAAATGATGAACAAAATTCTAAGTGTTTTGAATTTGAGATCCTGAGGATTAGGGTGAGGCAGGCAAAATACCTATGGTGCAAAATTAACTTCCCAAGTGCCCACTCAGCACTTAGGGCAGTGTGAATGCCTCCTTAAATTCTTCACCCTAGGTGCCTACCTTGCCTCACCTTGAGTTCTTATAGATTTTGTAGAGATATCGCCTTGGCACCTAAGGAGGTACACCGCTCAGTTCTCCTTTCAAGAAAGAACTTGCCATTTAGCTGCAAAAAGTGCAGTTAGTTGAGAGCCTCCAGTTGCAGAACATTCAGGATAGGATCTGTCTCAGCTTTTGAATCAGAGCCATACCCTTCCCAGGAACCCCTAGTCAGAGACTGGATAGGTTAGGGGTACTCAGCCTGTCAATTTCTGTCCAAGGTGGGGCTACTTTAACAGGCAATCTTCCTTCTGAAGTTCACCATTGAGTTGGATGAGACTGAAGTCATATCTGAAGGCTTTCTCTGTCCAATTCTGCTTCCTCCCCTTTTATCTTTATACCATCCCCCCAATAAACTACTTGCTCAATAATTCTCTCTCAGCATCTGTTCTCAGAGGACCTAAATGACACATATAATAAGCAACTGATCACATCAATCTGGACCTAGACCTAGCGATGAAGAGATAAACTTTAGTGATCTCATTTCCTCTTAACTATAATAAAAAAAACAGCCTTCCAACTGGTTTCCCTGACTCCTGACTGCTCTCCATTCAGTGCAGCCTCTACACTGCACTGC